TCTTCTTGCACCTTTTCTTGAACGTACGGAGATACAGGGTATTGACGTTTCATAATCGGCTTTGCATTCGAAGTATCAATCACGTGTTCGATTTTGTGTGTTTTATTTAACGGACCAGACTTCGACGTATGATTAAAAAGACGCAAGACGGAATTTAAAATATCGCGCTGATTTTCAGTCAAAGTATGAGGCAAACTAACACTGGCAGTTTTCGGAGGAGTAACATCATTTTCGTCTTCAAGGATAGACACTTCATCCTTTTCAACTTCAACCGAAGCACATTGGAAATTGTAATTAAATTCGAGAAATTGTTCAGGAGTGATCATCGCTTCAGTATTAGGACTGGGTTTGGAATGAATAACCGCAGAATGCTTTCCGAGAGATTTAAGATACGCATTGACTTTCTCCCCATTTTGTCTTTGTTCGATAAAGAATGTTTTCAAGAAATTTTTACCCAAAATTGGAAAAGGCATTTTAATTGGCAATACTATCGCTGGAATCTTTCGAGTCAATTTACCAACCGTAAACGAGAGATTAACCGCCCCAAGGGGACGATACGACTGTTTGCCATCGGCTAGCCAAATGGTAGTTTGAACCGGAAACAAATCGCGCAGATTATTTTCCTTGAAAAATTCTTCGCTAATAACTGTGACTTCAGAACCCCCGTCAGTGAGAGCTGTAAAAGATTGGCCATTAATTTTGACTGTCATATAGTCCCGCTGATCGTTGCCCATCGGGTAAAATAAATTTTCGGAAGAAATCATAGCAATTTGAACATCCTCTTTTCTCGAGTTTTCAATTTCAGGTGTAATTATCATTGAAGTAGATTGATCTGAAGCACAAGCATTCGAAGAAGGAATAGTGGCATTAGAAGCATTAGGTTGGATTTGATTTGAATCTGCACCGCCACTTGGTACAGATTCTATCTCTCGTTTTTTGACTTTGAACAATTGCAGTTCGAGGCTTTGGTACCGGGCTTACCACAGCAATAACAGAATCTCGACGTTTTAGGGGCGGAGCATTTATTGTGATTGTGGCCCCACCGCCGGCAGTTAAAGCAGATGACTGGTTCATCGCCTTCGATTTGGTTTAGATCGAAAACTTTTTCTGCCTTGGTTCCAAAATCCGCTTCAGATTTCTTCGATGACAATACGGATTTGGATCTCGGGGTTTTCGATTCATATCTACGAGACATCTCCGCCACCTGTACCCTTTCAGAATCAGTAGACGAATAATCAGACTCATAATTAGCCATTGATTTTATTGCAGAGACATTGCGTCTATTCGGTTTTCCAAAAGACTCCGATGTCTTCAAAAAGGAATGAGGAGCAATTAAATGAGCAAACTCTCGCATTTCTCTCATGGTCTTTACACCTCGAGTGTCCATTGCTGTTTGGATCGAAGAAGGCAATGTTTTCATTACCACTCGTAATTGTTGAGGATCGGCAAAAGCATACGGAGAATTGTTCATTCGATATGCCAGATCATCGATGTGGGCTAACAATGATTGGGACTTAGGATCAAATTTGACTTCACCAACTTCAAACATTATATCCACCGGATCCCGTTTATCACTGAAACGTTGTCGAAATTTAATACGAAAGTCATTATACGAAATGAAGGTATGACGTTGATTGGTAAACCATTGACGGGCTACCCCACGAAACGATCTCAACAAATAGGACAAAAGGTCTTGATCGGGCACACGACAACAACCACGAAAAGTATCAACTGACGTAAGGAAATCTTCAACCGACATGTATTTATCGTTGATTCGAGTACCATCAAACGACATTCGTGAAAACCAGTTAGGTAAATCACGTAAGGCTTGATTTCTTTCCTTCCGTTGGCTACACGTTTCGCTTGCCAACTCATCTTCTTCGACATCTCCCCTTCGTGCGGGGAGGTCTAATATTTGGGGTTGGTTTCGAACAGAATCTTGAATCACCCCATTAGTATCGGCTGCACCTACGGCTCGATTGGGTAAATCATTGGAATTACTGGGCTGTGGCAAACCAGCAGGATGATCGGTTTCAACCCGACTCATTTGAAGGTTGACTAAAGTTTGCATTAAATGGGCTAAGTGACGCATTTCGAGAGCAAGATCAGAATTAGTCGTGCCAGAGGCGTCATCCGGAAGTTCCCTAGATCTTAAAGAATTTTTCGGACCACCACTAGCACCATTACCCCCATTCACTTCTTTCACCTCCTGTTCTTCTGATCGGCCGAAAACCTGTGGCTCTTTAGGGAGAGTTCCCGTAACTCGAGTTGCCCCATTATTATCCATTTGGACTTGATTAAGCATAGTTGAACTGTGTAATGGGGAATTTTGGTCCGTTAAGGACAGGTCCGGATTATTACTAAGAAGCAGATGAATTTGTTCGAGAAACTGGTTGGTGAGTATTTCTCGGCGGGTTTTTATTTGATCTTTCTCGGGCAAACGACGTACACGATAATAGAAATGCATATATCGATGGAGCTTGATTGCATTTGAAAGCGTTTGATGATTAGAAATTTCGCGAAAATGGTGTTCACACAAAGCCAGCTCGGCTGCAATATCCCTTGCTGGTGTTCCTAGATTAGCCGGACTATCGAGGAAACGAAAAATTTTTAGGTTTAATGCGCGAATCTGGGCGTCATCCCATGCGGCGGGTATAGGGAAAGCACGAACGTCAGCTTCATGATTTTTTTGTTCGTCAGTAAGTAACCCGACGTTAAGAGGCGGCAATTGTGGTTCCGACATTTTGTTCAATCACTCCTATAACTCACACAACCTCAACACTATTTAGCCCACACGACAACAATGCCCAGAATTTTTTTATTTTTTTTATTTTTATATTATTATTTTTTTTTTTTTTTTTTTTTTTTTTTTTTTTTTTTTTTTTTTTTTTGATTCCCTTTACTATTGCTATTGATTCTATTAGAGTTGCCTCAATATGGTTTCAATTTTCATGCATGCATATGCATATAACTATTATTTCACTTTTTGCTACTTAGAGGTTCCAAATCCAGACCACTTTATGTGTGTTCGGGAAGCCGGGCGACGCGGGATCGCTTTATTCGCAATTCGAAAAATACGTCGATCCGAACATCGATTTCATTCCTCGTTAGTTCTATCAAATATTCGCGTATTTCAGAAAAAAATCAAGATTTCACAGAGTTACGAGTAAAAGAGTCGAAAAAGGGTAATTAACTAGCAAAATTAAGATTAAACTTTACTAACACAGAATGCAGAAAGAATTCTGAATGTACTGGATCACGTGTGTCCAAATCGACCGACGAGTGAGGTTCGATGTGCCGTAATTGAGAAATCGTTGTAGGCTGTCGATTCAAATGAAATACCCACACGGATGACAATTTAATGTTATGCACAAAAA